GTTGATGACACGTGCTTGATTGAAGCTGAAGTATCTGTGCCTGATACTTCTCCAGCTTCCACAGATAATGTAAGTTCTCTTTTTGTTTGAACTTTAATTTTGTTCGATCCAATGTTTTATTTGCCTGGTTCGTAGTTTGATTTCCAATTGATTGTTGTTGTCAGCCCTCGGATTCTTCTGTTCCTGTTGATCCCGTGGAATCTGTATACATCAAGGCTGAATCCTTTCTCAAGTCCATACCCAAGAAATCATTCAGCTCAGTATCTGATGCTACACGTGAAGTGCCTTTGCTCAATGACCATGCAATTTTGGCAAAAGGATGCTTCAACAAACTGATTTCGTTTCCTTTAGATGATTTGGTTGAACCCAAGCATGAAACTGCAATGAGAGAGTCCTTGTCTATACTTAGCGATAACCTTTCTTTGTTTACCGAAGAACAGGCCAAAGAAATTATGAGTTTGAAAGCTAATTTTCCCGCAGCTATACAGGACTGGAGAGACTCAGTTCAAGTAAAGGTCAATAGCGAGCGCCTCTGGTTGACTTTTGTGAAGACCAACAATTTACTGGAAGATTTAGTAAAAACTGAAGAGGGAATAAAGACTAAACTCGAGGAGTTGAATAACAGAGAAAAGGAACTGGAGATGCAGCTGGAAGGACTTAAAAGCAGAAGTCGACAACTCAAGGAGGAAAGAATAGAAATATGGAAGCAGACAAAGCAAGTTTATGCCCTTGCACAAGAGCAGTCTAGCAAAATTGAAGGCAAAGAGCCAGAGGTGGATCTTGCAAACAAGAAGTTGGAGGATTTGAAATCAAAATGGGCCTCCAGTAAAGCTCTCTTCCTTGAGCTTTAGTTTTGTTGCTTTCTATGTTGTGTAATTCTGAATGGACCAAAACTCACGTTATTCAGAAAACTAGATTCTAATGTCTTATGTATGCTTTGGCTAGGACATAGTAGTTACTCGTTGCCTTGTCTATAACTACTATGAGACGTTATGTTGATTAGTTCCTTTGTGTTTCACTCGTGTGTCATCTTGTTATACTCTAATATCATGTTTGGCAAGGTTAATCATACAATCTTAGTATTAAAAATGAAAAAAGTTGGAACTTTTGTTTATAATACTATTATGTTGGTCAAATACTATGCATCAGCAATGTTGTAACGGGCTACATTAAGTAAGACACATAAGCCCGATTCAAAGAGAGCAAAGGCTGAGGGTTCGACTTCTTTCATAAGGACAGGGCTATGCTCCTGTCAGACTTGTAGGGGGGTGTATGCAATTTGGATTTTTGAAGATTTTGATGGACTTTTTTAAGTGTGATTTATGTGGATTTCGTAAATTTTTTATAGATTTATATGGAATTAGTGGAAGTTTTTTTTAGATTTCTATAAACTTTCATTTTAAAACTTTTATATAGGCCTTTGTAGAATTCAAAAAACTTTTGAAAATTTTCATGTGAAAAAGAATTCACGTTAATTTAGTGCAATAGTATGAAATTCTCATATTCGAGATGGTTGATCCCACAATTCCATCTCTCCTCAATATAATAATAAAAAAATTTAAAAAAATAAAAATTTAAGACCTTTATTAAATAAATAATAATCAAAATTGCGTGCGTGCGCACACACACGCGCGCATATATATAAATTTAATATTCAGCATCATTAATATAATATATCTTTAAAGAATAAATAAAAATTATTTATATTTAAATTTTTATATAAAATTTTATAGTTTAATTAAAAATAGGTATTTTTCACCAAAAATGAATGAAAAAATGAAAACAAAAAAGTTATAAGAATCCATTTTAAATTTTTTCATAGAAGATAGAGATAAACAATAAGGGAAAAAAAAGAAAAATAGAAATAAATATAATAATATAAAAGAATAAATTTTAATCATAACTTTAATGTTCGTAGAAGAGAAAATGAAGGATTAAATTCACTAATGGCCATCCAATTTTATACATAGTGCTACCATGACTACCTAATTTGATTTTATTTCACCATGTCATGAAACTTTATATTTAGCGTCACCATAATCACCTAATTTGATTTTATTTCATCATGATCACTCAATTTCTTTTCACTATTTTCACTAATTTTAAAAGGGGTAAAACGGTAATTTTGTATTATATATATGAAATAAATTTTAAAAAAACAAAAACAAAAGTTTTTTTATTTTAAAAACGTTTATTTTAAAATAAGTTTTTATTTTATTTTAATTTTTTTAAATAAATTTTTTTTTAAGGAACGTCTTTTTTAAAATAACTTTTTATTTTGTTTTATTATCTAAGTAACTTTTTTTTTAATAGGTTTTTATTTTATTATTTAAAGTAACATTTTTTTAAAAAATAAGTTTTTATTTTTTTAAGTAACTTTTTTTTAAAAAATAAGTTTTTATTTTAATTTTTTGAAATTTATTTTATACATATAATGCAAAGTTACCGTGTAACCCTTTTAACATTAATAAATATGGTGAAAAGAAATTGGGTATCCATGGTGAAAAGTTACATGAAAGTGGATGGCCGTAGTGAAATAAAATCAAACTAGGTATGACATTAAGTATAAAGTTGGATGGCCAAAGTTAAACAAGTTAAATTGGGTGGTCATGGTAACATCAAGTATAAAGTTGGGTGACCATTTGGTGAATTTAACCCGAAAATGAAAGAAAAATATTGGAAAAAAAAAATATTTTTTCTTGAAACTCTCCCAAAATCATGTGATTAATGAAAAACAAGTTTTGAGATTTTATTTTAGTACTTTCTGTTCAAAAGTTAGTACCTCTAAAAGTTATTAAAATTCGAATACCCGAGACTCGTACCTTTAGGGTGTGTTTGATAGCTTAGAAAATTAGGTGGAAAAAGAAAATGTTTTCCAACTTCACCTAATTAATGGTGTTTGATTGAAAAAGATTTCTTGACTTTTGTTTTTCGTACCTTTTCTAGGTACAACCATTTTATGCACATTTTCTTGAATTTGTTTTCTCACCTATTAGGTGGGAAAGCAATTTCCATCTTTTTTTTTTTTTGCTTTTTTTTCTTTTAGTAATGGCAACAAATTCTATCAACTATTGCAAAAAGAATTTTCACTTTTGTTGATAATTTCTATGCAAAACAAAGTCAAACAAATATGGTAATTTTTTCTAATTGTTTAAATTTTTTTTTTTTTTACTTTTTGGTAATTGGAACAAATTCTAGATGCAATGGTAGAAAAAATTATCACTTTAATGGACAATTTTCATAAAAAATAAAGTCAAACGGACACCAAACTTTCAACATTTTTCAGGTGGAAAATTATACCAATCAAACACAATTAATTACAATTCCCAGTAAAACAATTTTTAGGCAATTCAATTCTCAGTAAAACATTTTCTTTCTACCTTTACAATCAAACGGACCTTTAAAAAGTTTGAAATTGAATATATCTTACTGATTTTTATATCAATACTTTTAGAGAATCTCAAAAAGGCTACATTGAATATCCCTAAATTTTTTAAATCCCAAAAAATAATTTAAAGTTTCAATTGAATACACCCTATCAAGTTCATTCATGTGAAAATTCCCAAGGCAGCTATCACATATTTGTTTTTTGAGTTGAACTATCTCGTAATTATTTGAGCTAGTTCTAATATTTTATTGATAACAAAAATTGAAATGACAAACTATCTCATTTGGCTCCACACCCTCCTTCAATCTCTCGATTGCTACAAAAGTTGAGGAACCCAAACATATAATTATACCATCCCTAGAAAAAATAATGTGATTTTTTATTATGATGGTGGAACATCGATAATGGGACGTTTACGTGGAGTAATTGGATTAGGTGGTTCAATTTTTATGAGAAAAATGAAGAGGAGAGAAGACGTGAGGAATAAAGGATTCTCACATCGACGATATTTCATTATCACGATAATAAATAGCATTACTCTTTAAGAAAGGCGAGGGAGATAATTCTTGAAATCGTCTATCTTTTTTCAATTAGCGGGTATTCAAATTATTTTATATTTCTTAATACTTAATGGAGAGAATGAATTATTTATTTTGAAACCCGCTTCCTCTTTTACTTCAAAATAAGTTATTTTTTTTAAGATGATACAAATTTGAAACCCGGTGTCCTGTGAATCCATTCAAGAGTTACTCTTTGAATCTCTGATGCTTTTTGTTGAAGAGGAGAAAAAGAATTTATGCTTTGGCTTTGACTTAGAGGTGAAGAATGGTAAGTTCTCCTTTTCTCCTCGGATTTCTTTTAAAAGGGTATCTTTGTATTCCTATGATTTGGCGTGAAGTATTTTCTTTGTTGGAATTCATTCTGGGCTTGGGAAAGTTGCTCTCTTTTGCTTCTTTACTGTGGAGAGATTTTCTACGCAAATTTGAAGTAACGTTATTGGTCTAGTTTCTGATTGCATGCGATTTTTGTTGGGTTTTTTCTCTCTTTTGTTGACCTCATTTTCCTGTTACTATATCGATGTTTTTTTCTTTTCTTTTTAGTTAATGGCTTGGTAATTGTTTCTGCTTTGAACGCATTGATTAAGAAGTGTTTCTTTTTACTGTATTGTTAAATTCTTTATTTTTTATTCTTGTGCAGTTAGAGATTGAGGGAAAAGGCTAGTTTTTACATTCCCATTTGGCTGAGCTACCTGAGTTGAGTATGGAAGTTGAACTCATTTTGTTTGAACATGAAATTGTTAATTTTTTTTTTAAACGTGTTTGAATTTTTGTTAAGAGTGTTCTGCGTGACTAGAAGTGTTTTCAGAAGGAGCGGGCATTAGACAGCTTCCTCGTGAAGCACTTTTATAACAAGCAGAAGCAGAATGCCCGAATGGGCCCTTAGTGTGTGGAATTTGCACGTCTGGTTAAAATCCAATATGATATATTTGAGTTGACTGTTGAGCATGGGCATATCTGTTTCTTATTTTAGCTTTCATTACGCCATTTATTGGTTCTGCTAAACGAAGAAAAGTGTAAAAGTTTCAGATAAGAAGCAATTGAAGGATTATCCGATGGCAAGATTTACATGGAGGATTGAGAATTTTACTAGTTCAAACGAATCAAAGCTTTACTCTGGAATATTCGTCGTCAATGAATATAGATGGTATGCCTGCCTTATTACTGAAAATTATTGTTAGTCTTGCAAATCCTGTGGACATGATTTTTTTAATCTTACATCTGCAGGAGGTTACTCCTTTTTCCGAAAGGAAATAATGTCGACTATTTGTCATTGTATCTTGGTGTTCCTGATGCAAATAGCTTACCAAATGGCTGGAGTAGAACTGCCAAGTACAGTATAGCTCTAATAAACCAGATGGATAGCAAGAAGACTGTCAAGGAAGGTATTTATATACAACCATTAAGACGAGGACTTGAACTATGGTATGGACTTAATCTCTTGATCTTGGATGCGTAACTTTGTTATGCAGTCTGGAAAATGAAATTGCCTGGCTATATTTCCGAGTGTGTACAATTGTTGAAGTACTTTTAATCACTGGTTTCAGCATCCCAAATTTGAAATGTTATCAACTCGGTTTCACTCCATGTTGTCTCAATGTGCCGTTTTTAAATTAGCTTAGAAACAGCAACTAAGCAGATTTTCCCTGTGCAGAAGCAGAACACCGATTCCATGAAGGAGAAAGTGAATGGGGCTTCAAATCGTTTTTTCCTCTAAGTGAACTGCATGACAAAAATGGTGGATATCTTGTTGATGACACGTGCTTGATTGAAGCTGAAGTATCTGTGCCTGATACTTCTCCAGCTTCCACAGATAATGTAAGTTCTCTTTTTGTTTGAACTTTAATTTTGTTCGATCCAATGTTTTATTTGCCTGGTTCGTAGTTTGATTTCCAATTGATTGTTGTTGTCAGCCCTCGGATTCTTCTGTTCCTGTTGATCCCGTGGAATCTGTATACATCAAGGCTGAATCCTTTCTCAAGTCCATACCCAAGAAATCATTCAGCTCAGTATCTGATGCTACACGTGAAGTGCCTTTGCTCAATGACCATGCAATTTTGGCAAAAGGATGCTTCAACAAACTGATTTCGTTTCCTTTAGATGATTTGGTTGAACCCAAGCATGAAACTGCAATGAGAGAGTCCTTGTCTATACTTAGCGATAACCTTTCTTTGTTTACCGAAGAACAGGCCAAAGAAATTATGAGTTTGAAAGCTAATTTTCCCGCAGCTATACAGGACTGGAGAGACTCAGTTCAAGTAAAGGTCAATAGCGAGCGCCTCTGGTTGACTTTTGTGAAGACCAACAATTTACTGGAAGATTTAGTAAAAACTGAAGAGGGAATAAAGACTAAACTCGAGGAGTTGAATAACAGAGAAAAGGAACTGGAGATGCAGCTGGAAGGACTTAAAAGCAGAAGTCGACAACTCAAGGAGGAAAGAATAGAAATATGGAAGCAGACAAAGCAAGTTTATGCCCTTGCACAAGAGCAGTCTAGCAAAATTGAAGGCAAAGAGCCAGAGGTGGATCTTGCAAACAAGAAGTTGGAGGATTTGAAATCAAAATGGGCCTCCAGTAAAGCTCTCTTCCTTGAGTTTTAGTTTTGTTGCTTTCTATGTTGTGTAATTCTGAATGGACCAAAACTCATGTTTTTCAGAAAACTAGATTCTAATGTCTTATGTATGCTTTGGCTAGGACATAGTAGTTACTCGTTGCCTTGTCTATAACTACTGTGGAACGTGATGTTGATTTGTTCCTTTGTGTTTCACTCGTGTGTCATCTTGTTATACTCTAATAACATGTTTGGCAAGGTGAATCATACAACCTTAGTATTAAAAATGAAAAAAGTTGAACTTTTCCCCATATAATATAAAAGAGTGACTTTGTTATGGTATTGTTCATAGGAATGCACGCCTTGCTCTTTTTTTCATGGTTTATTATTATTTTTTGGTGGGAATGTAAAATGACATCGTATTATTGTACAGACAAAAAAACTCTTTTACACACAACACCTGTACGTCCGAGTAGAGACACTTTACGCAACTTGTTACGACACAGAAAACCAGCAAAGGAAAACAGTGAAGAAACGAGCTGGCGAACTGGAGAAGAAACCGTTGGAGGCAAAACTACTTCGGTTGATACTCTTAATTAGCTGGATAGTTATTTCAGTTAACTTCAAGTTGTTAGACAGTTAGTTAGTTTAATTGCCTATAAATGTCCAGATGTAATTCACATTTACTTCAAGTGTTGATTAATAAAATTTCCCAAAATTCCCGTTCTCTTCTTCTTCAATTCATCAATTTTTGCAATTGCAGTTTCATTTTTTATGTTCAATTGATGAATTTGACATGGTATAAAAGAAAATTTAGCAAAAATTTATCATTTATCATTTGGAAAATTGCGAATTTAGAGAGTATCCTTCCCTCGACTGATGATCCAACAAGTCAATACTATTTGCATATGAATGATAATCTTGGAGCTCTAATTGTTTCAGAGATTTTCAATGGAGATAATTACACATCATGGAGTCGTGCAATATCCATGGCATTGAGTGTATAGAATAAAATTGGATTTATAGATGGAACTTTGAAGACCTCAAATTCACCATCAGGTAATTCATATAGCTACTGGCTTCGAGCAAATAATCTGGTACTTTCATGGTTATTGAATTCAATTAGTAAAGAAATTTGCCAACAGATGTCGAGCCCACTCGTGCACGTGCAAGCCTTTGTCCAACACGCGTGTGCCGAAGAACGGTCAGAAAATGCTCCAGAATATGGGCATGGGAGGGGCTCGCCGCACGAGACGTCAGAGTTCGGGTCTCCGGCAAGATAGGTAGAACGATCGTGTAAGAATCCGATCGATAAAATGACGAGATTTGTGATTGTAGTTGAAATATATGTTGAGAAACAAGAGAGAGAAATAATGCTCCCAGTATTTTGTGTTTGATTTTGTATTTTTATTTGGCATTAGCCTTATTGTGTTATATGGTGGGGGTATTTATAGTGTTACAACTCAAATGGTGACCTTTGGATCAATTTACACGTTGCCTAATCTCCTTGGCCAAGACATCAAGTCCTAACCATCAAGTTGATTCTCCTAACTTTACAAAACATTAAATGCTCTTACATTGACAAGACAAGACACAAATAAACTTTACATAAAAGTCATGTCAATCATTCACCAAAGATCTCCATCATAAGCGGATCTTCGCACGTGGGTCTTCAATGGCTGCTAAGGAGCCTCGGACGATGTATTTTTGCCGAACCGTGGCTCATCGTTAGCAGCAGTGGCCTCGAAATGATAGTGACGGCCTCGGAACCCACGTCTGAAGCTAGGAAAATATGTTCTGATTTGATTAAGCTGGTCCCACCGCTAAAATACGGTGCCACGTGTCGCTTCCATCTATTGACCCGTAACAATAGTCCCCCAAATCCATGTGTGGTTATTTATGCCATGCGTGGACTTTCAATAAGTTAGAAAAAGTTTTAATTTTCTGTACTTCACAGATACATTTTAACTTTCGACTTTGTCCTAGCCCTTGAAGCCTGTATTTCTAAGTTACAATAAGAATTACCTGAAAACAAAGATTGACTCTTTTATAATATGCCCAAAAAAACTCTAATCTTCTTCCATAACTTTTAGTTTCTTTGGTATGCAATCTTGAAGTTGTCATATAGTTGCAGATAATATATACCATCAAAGTTCAAACAATGTTCTTATAATCATTTAGGATTAAATATTATATATTTGTGCAAAGTTTATGCATGGGACCTTTGCCCATAGCTCGTATCAATAACCTTTGGATAATTTTCAGACAAGATAAAAATCATTAATTTGAGATTTTCGACCTGTTAGCACCACATCGTTCAACAAAAATTTCTGCATAATAATGTTTTAACCGCCTTTTTACTTCCTCGTGTAGGAAAATTCCACCAACTTCTTGTAATAAAATATAAGTGTAAAAGTGTAGAAATGATGAAAAAATTCACGCGTTTAAATTTCAGTAAACTATTCTTTAAAGTTCAACTGAAAAATACGATTTTATATCTACTTTACATTTCAATACCTGTACGTTGCTCTAGCAGCATAAATTTGTATCAGAAAACAATCAATAAAACCCAAAAAATCAAATCCTTCCATCGATTACTGATGCAAAAACACACTTAACTCAGATTCTAAATGATAGGCATAAATCTTGTAAATGTGGAAAAATTAAGAAGCACTAATAGATGACCACTTTAACAAACTCTAAAATAGCTTAAAACAATAAAAATCATCAAAATACCTAATAAATTACAACATCAAAACAACTAATGAAACAATTGTCAACAAGCTACAGCCTTTGAAGAATGAAGTCTCATCTGAACAGCATACCATTTTCCATAGCCAAAGTACTTCTAAAATCGCATTGGATATCCTTATATCATCAATAGAATAAACTCATATGTTGGAACTAATTACTACTCATAAAGTCGAATATTAATTAAGCACAAATTCCAAAACTTCATTTAATTTACAATCAAGGAAACCTTGGATATATTTCTTGCAAACTATAACATAGAATAATCATAAAGAATACAAAGAACAAATAATCTTCCAAACAATAAAGCCCAAATAAGTTAAAGAAACCAAAAATAAAAACATGGAGACATGGTGTCTCCGTACGCACACGGGGCCGACATTGTTCCAGGTATCGATGGGGTCTCCTTTAGAACCTTGAACGATGCTGCAGGCTGAATGAAATTATACAGATTAAAAATAAGGAGGTTTCTCAAATTTACCTAGCTCGACTAAAAAAGTAAAGAACGATATACTAAGGCATAATACAAAAACCATTTTACAACAACTGCGAGTACACAAAGTTATAATGTAATACACATAGTTGGGTAGAATAACTTAATAAAACTATAAAGAATTGAATCAATACACCAAATATAACATATGATCGGTAAAAATACAACTCTGCAACTTAATCAACCACCAGTATCATATATTAAGTCATATGAATGATATCCAGGAAGTCCAACAAAAACTCAAGCAAGACAATAGTGAAATGCACACAACTTATGGCAATAGTATATGGGAGCTGAGATAGTTTAAACTCATTCAACAAAGCATATTGATAAATTCAAAGGAATCATGCAAACTAAGTTCAAATTGCGATGTAATATGATAAATTTATTCAACACTGGGTTACAACCAGTCAAGTTTGAACTTGATATTAGAGGTTGTTATGATTTCAATCCAAGTCCGAACATAATCTTTTTGGCATTGTTCATCCCTTTCAGGTCTCTGAGCAATTCATGGAGCAATAACTTCCAGGAAATAGAGAAAATTAAAATATCATAAATGGTCCATAACTATGAGGATGGATTTTAATCGTAACCACATTTTTGTATTCGAAATGTCTGCCAGGTAAATGATATCACAAAACTATCATATCGATCATCATCTGGAGCTTATCCCTTCATGTTCACTCCAAGGGGGTTTTCCATTCATCATTTCAATTATGGTACATCCCAAGCTCCACAATGGTCAGGATGAATTTAGTGATTAAACCATGATGAACATATTCCAGGTATATGTAAAACGGGTCGCCAACCTGCATGCACATAAATTGAGACTTGTTAGAGTGTGTATACAGACCTAAAGTAGAAATCTGAGCTTCAAGATAGTGACTTACAATTTCACTACCGTAATACTGCAAAATGTTTGGACGCTTCAGATAGCTAAGACCTTTAATTTCCTGCCAAAATGAAAAATTTAACAGAAAGCACAAGATCCTATTTTTGAAATAACTAAAAGAATTTAGGATAATATATAGAGAAACCTCCACACCACTGCTCTCTTTGCCTTGAGCTTTTTCCTCTCCTTCCTTTTAACTTCACTCGTCCCATCACCCAAAGCCGAACTTTTTCCACTCTGTTCCACCGTTTGATCCATATTCCTCAAAATCCGGCTCGAGTGAACCCACAGAACCCCTCCAAGATTAAGCCTCGATGCCCCCATTTCATACCGCCAACGTTGCTTGACAGAAACAGGCACGACTCCACCAAGAGTCTTGCACAAACATAAATTGAAGAAGCTACTCAAATATTAATATTTCTAAAAATGAACAAAAAAATGGAACAAATTTTTATGGAGATTTCAGAAGGGCACCGCGTAAACACACAAACAAAACTTCACCATATAAATTTGTAAATACTGGAAAAAAAAATACATGGGTTTGTGAAGCATGGAATGAGATTGGGACAAGAGGGTCATAACTGGGTAACACAAACAAAACTAATCGTTTGCCAAAATTTGACACGGGGTGAGGTTTTGACAGGAAATCTGAACTTGCTGCCAGGCGTAAAGGAAGCGGAGGAGCTGAGAGACAACAGAGGAATTGTCGCGGCTTCTACTTCTCGTCAAACCATTAACAGTGAAAGTCGAACCAAAGAAATATAAACATCAAACAAAAATCGAAGCATGAATCTGCAAAAATTTCTGTGAAAGAGAGTGAAGAATGTGAGAAGACGATTTCTAAGGTTTCTTTCTCTGGGCCCATGAACGAAATCGCGAGAAAGAGAGAAGGGGGGAAGAAAGGATCTAGAGAAACCGATTGAGAGAATGAAGGAAAGAAGTATGGAGTATGGACGTTATTTTGAGAAGTGGAGAAAGTCAGAAGAAATGACTGTAGAGGGAAAAAAAGCAAAAAAAAAAGTCCACACAAATGAAAAAATGGAGATTGCGTGTAAAAATGGAGAGAGAATGAAGTTGAGAGAAAAAAAGGGAGAAAACATATCAGTAAAAATATCTCATCTTTTTTGTGGCTCAGCTTATATAGCTCAGCTAGAAAACGGCTCGGCTCATCTGGCCATATGGCTTAGGAATAGTGGCAACAAAGTTCTCTCTTTTTATATTGTAGAGGATATATATATATATTTTTCTTTCATCTTTAAGTAATTAATTGTACTATGTATGATTGCAATGTGGTATTGATTAGAATTTGATTACTCTTAGAGGGAATAATGAGTTCTTTTATTAGATTGAATATAACTATTGGAAATATTTTAGTTTTAATTAAATGTTCGGATTTTTGGGATCGAATAAGATTACCCTTTTCTTGATATTACTATTTTTGTAGGAAAAATTGAGAATTTTTAT